CCTCTCACCCGTCTCTCTCTGTCTCTCCCTAGAGAGTGCATGCACCCTGTGATAAAAACCTCACCAAAAAAAAAAATCTTAACATCAATAAAACCATTAAAAAAAAGAAACTATAAACCATATCAAACCAATAGATAGATGTTAAAATGCCTACATGCATTTAAAGGTCACATGTTTACAGCTCACATGCATACAAATGTTCTGAGATTTCATGGATTCTTTTGGATTTTCAACATGTATATAATCACGAATAAGGGAAATTTCACTTCTATTTTCCTACCTGAATGCCCTTTATTTTTATTTTTTAAATAAAATCCATTTATTTTAAATTTACAAAATTTAAACCGTATTGCAAAAAGTATTTCACAAGTGATGATATTACCATGGAGAGCAATATTAAGTAAATGTACTGAGGTCAAACACTGAGTAAATGGCAAAGCTAGCATTCAAGCCTAAGAATGTCTAGTTCAGAGTGCAAGCTCTCAACCTTACTTACTTACAAACCTCTTCGCTTATGCAGCCAGGATCATGTGCAGCTCTAAAGCTTTTTTTCTTTTTTCTTTTTTTGGACTGGTTTTTGCTATATGGGGCGTGTACTCACCAGAAAGACAGAGAGAGAGAGAGAGACAGAAAGCGAGAAATCACCCTCCCATGGGGGATGGCCACGCCACAATCTCTTCTCCTCCATTCTCCTCTCGGGATCTTGGGCACGCATGCACACGTGCCCAGTGTGAGTTTAAGCCACTGGTTCCAGGAATCGAAACACGGTCGACTACGTGGGAGTCCAGTGACATAGCCATTATGCTAACTGCTGGTCCCAGTTCTAAAGCTTTCTAATGTACACATGAAAACACAATACCTAGAGCTGAATTTTTGGTCATGTGGATTCAAGTAATTATCATGTTCAATGTAAGTTTCTTATGCTCTTTCTCAACTTATTTTAATTTATATTTGTAGATCCCTGTCCTCTCTTGCTCCTAACCATTCAAATAGTTTTTCTAAGAATTATTTAATTTTTATTTATTACTATTTTTAATTTGATTTCATTTTAATTTATTTTATACATTCAATCACTATACATCACTTAGCTTGTAAAGTGAATTTTCCCAACATGAATACACTTCACACCAATCAAGTTGGCGATACTGTATACGTTATCAACAGATAATAATCCATTTCTGTGTCCTACAAATGTCTTGCCTATTTTTCTCCTTAATGTTTTTCCTCACAATCTCCTCCTTCTCCCACCCTCTTCCCACACTGTATCTAGTATCCATAACCATTTTCCTTGGTTCTTTATTCTCTAATCTTCCACTTTCTGCTACAGAGTACAGACAGTCATTATATGTTGAGTGGAGACATGCAATGTCTCTCATAGCCTGGATTGCTTTGCTCAGCAGTAAATCTTCTATTTTGTCCACTTTCTATCAAAAGCCAGGGTCTTGGGACTAGCAGTTGGCATAATGTCTGTGTCACTAGACTCCCATGTAGTCAACTGCTGTTCGAGTCCCAGACCCGGTGGCTTAAACTTACACCAGGCACATGTGCATGCATGTCCAAGATCCCGAGAGGAGAAAGGAGGAGAAGGGATTGCGGCATGGCCATCCCCCTTTGGGGGTATATCTCTCTTTTTGTCTCTCTGTCTCTCTCTTTCTCTCTGGCAAGTGCATAACCACTATAGCAAAAACCTCCCCCCCAAAAAAAGAAAAGGGGCAATGGTCTTGTTTTTTTATGGCTGAGTAGTATTCCATAGAGTTTATGTGCCACACTTTGTCAGTCCATTCACCTGTTCATGGAAATTTGGGTTGGTTCTATGTCTTAGTGATTGTGAATAATGCTGCAATAAACATCTATGTGTAGATAGCAATAAACATCTATGTGCAGAAAGCACTTTTCTTACTGAGTGTTGTCCTTTGGTTTGGGTAGATACCCAGGAGTGGAACTGCTAGATCATATGGTAGTTCTATTTGTAGATCTCTGAAGAACCTCCATATTGTTCTCCTCAGTGGCTGAACCAATTTACATTCCCACCAAGAGTGTAGGAGAGCTCCCTTTTCACCACATCCCTGCCAGCATGTGCCATTTTTAATTTTTTTAATCTTCACCATTCTGACGGGTTAGGTGGCATCTCATTGTGGTTTTGAAGTGCATCTCCCTTATGATGAGGGATGTTGTGCATTTTTTCACATACTTTTTGGCAGTTCACATATCAGTTTCAAAACTGGTTTTAATCTCTTAACATGTAATTTAGCTTCATTCTTTTGTTTTTTATTTGTCTGTTTTTAATTTCTTTATTTTAATTTAGTGTTGCTATTTTTAAAATTTTACATTTAATCCCTATATATATATTTTTTGAGAGGTTTCTGCTATAGGGCGCGTGTGCTCGCCAGACAGACAGAGAGAGACAGAGAGACAGAAAGTGAGAAATCACCCTCCGGGGGGATGGTCATGCTGCAATCCCTTCTCCTCCATTCTCTTCTCGGGATCTTGGGCACGCACGCACACGCGCCTGGCGCGAGTTTTAAGCCACCGGGTCCAGGACGCGAACCGCGGTCGACTACGTGGGAGTCCAGCAACATAGCCATTACGCTAACTGCTGGTTCCCAAATCCCTATATATCTTTACAGTGTACAAAATGTATTTCCTTCAGTATGACTACAATGTATATTAGTCAAGTCAAAGACATTGCTATATACATTATCATCAGCAGATAACTTTTCATTTTTGTGTCTATTAACAGTGTTGTTTTTTCTCTGATCCCATCATTACCCTCACACTCTCTCTACTATGTACATTTGACCTCCCTACAATGATAACTTCCTATCTTTTAGTTACTGCTATAAAACACTGGCATTCAGTATACTGAGTGGGGACATACATTGCCTGTCTTTCATAGTCAGGTTTGCTTCACTTAGCATTTAATTTTCCATATTTGTCCACTTTCTATTGAATATCAGGGTCTTATCATACTTTATGGCTGAGTAGTATTCCATAGTAGGAGGCATCTCATTACCTGTAATATATTCAAAATATATTACTAAAGTTGTGATAATCAAAACAGGAATCTACTGGCACAAAAACAGACAGGCAGACCAATAAAACAGAATGAAGAACCCAGAAATACATTCCATAGCTTTTATGTATCTCTCTGTCTCTATGGTGAGTGCACATGATCCATAGCAAAAATCTTTATTAAAATGAAAACGATGTATATGATAATATCCTTGATCTAATTATCACATGGTACAGGATACTTTGAAAAATCACACCATGTGCTAAAGAAATATATAGCAATTAAATATGAATAAGAAATCATAGAAAAATGTTCTGTAATTGTGAACATGGCTAAAAAGACTAAACATCAGATATTAGAAATTATAATTTCATCAATAATGTATATCATTCAAATTATGTTAAGAAAAATCTCTCTAGAGCTAGTTACATAGCCTACTGGTTAAAGAAACCAGATATCACTGGCCAGCTTTGGTTTGAGTTCCAGCTCCAGTGGTTTGAGAAACACATTGAGTGTGTGTACATGTATACCCAGAATACTAATAGAATGGAGAAATGGAGGAAAAGTTAGTGGAGCATAAACATATCCCATGGAGCGAGTGGTGATTTCTCTTCTCACTCTCCCACCCCACATTGAGACC